TCCTTTGTCTTCGAGTATATTTTCAGAGATAAGGTTGACTCCGAAAGTTGGCACCACTAGAACATTACCCAGTTGAATGGAAACAGTCCTGTGACCTACATTGCACAGGATTTCCACTGTTCCAGTACCGATGACATTGTGCATATCTTGTCCTGATGCCTTGACCTGTCGGTTGCTGCACGGTACAAAATCATACACCCATTCAGGTCGGCATACCATATGGCTGGAGGCTCCCGAGTCCAATATGAACATATCACTCCTATCGATGGAGCTACATGCCTCGTCAATTACAATGTCCCTTTTCTTGTTGTCCATTGCTACAAACATTCCGTCTGCCGATTGATTATTTCTTGATCGGTCTTGGTTGTTTGATCGTGGCCCTTTGGAGAAGAACTTTGGTGACTGTTGTCGGTAATTGTCGTTCCTTGGAGCTGGTCGACAGTCCTTTGCATAGTGGCCTATATTACCACAATTATGGCATGCGGGCATTCTGTCTTGATCGTCGTTTCTTTGTTCATAGGGTCGACGTCCCTGCTCTCTACGATAATAAGTATCCATCTCATGGTTTGCTGCAAAATAGTCATCTCGACTAGAGTTGCCTTGCTTTGCGCCGTGTGCATTTGGCCCATGTGATGTTGAACCTTTCCGTAGGTTCCTATGATTTCTAGACGCATAGTTCGCCTCGTATATGGTGTCATCTACACCGTGCCTCGGTAGTGCACCCATGTTGATGAGTTTAATTTCCTCTTCGATGAGTTCCGACAGGAATTTGTTGGGGCTTAACATTTCGTCGGTCCATCGCACTGTATGTCCTTCGAAATAGCGCCATTCTCTGCTCTTGGAAACAAGTTTTGCCATCACCCTTGATGCAAACACTTTCTCACCCCAAAATATATTTGCCGCTGCAATCTTATGACGTAGACTCGTCATAGTGTTGTACAGTTCCTCGACTCCCTTCCTGGGATCGTACTGCAGATTTGCCATGGCTTCCTCTGATCGCGTCAGCGATCTTTCACAGTAGTCAACATAATGGTTCTTGAGTCCGACCCAGATTTTCCTGGCGTCAAGTTGTACTCCATTACTGTCACAGAGCATAAACTTGAATTTACTGCTCACTGTTGCCTGCAAGATTCCTCTTGCCTTGAATTCCTTTAATTTGTAGTCGCGCTCGATCTTTTCTGGAAGTTCACCTATGATGTGAGATTCCCATAGATCCAGAGTTTCGAAGGCGGCCTCCATTTGGTTTGCCCAGACAGTGTAATTGTCCTGGGTCAATACCGTAATAATAAGACCTTCAGCGATCTTGACCTGCTGTGAGCCTGGGCTCATAACCTCTTGTTCATTAACGTATAGTGACATATTTATGTAGTATAAGTTTTAGAGGAAGATCACAGAGATGTAAGATAAGAAGAAGGAATGAATCAGAATAGTCGTGATTATTTATTGATAAGAGAACTTTGTCTCTTATATATAGTAAGTAGTAGTGGTGAATTAGTGACGGTATAAGCGTCACTCCTAAGCTTCACCGTTAAGGGTTCCCAAGCGTTACAGTCTTTGCATAGAGTGAGGCAACGGTCATCATCATATCTAAGCATACCATGTGTATAGCTTACTTGTTTATACAATGCTTGTTACTAGACCCCATCCTGACTGTCTGGGTCCTATTACAAATGTCATACATTACCAATGTCTAACAACCATTAATACCAAATAAACAACGTTTTGAATCAACAATCAACTGTCATGACAATGGGTAACATTCGTGGTCATTTGGCATCCATCTCAAACCATCACATCAAACACATTTCCAAAATCGATTGCTGGACAACTCAACTCGGTGCACGAGTCCGCATTACTGTGTCAGAGTCATGTTCCGCACACACTATCCATCAACTCTGTCACCAATCATCCGTACAACAACTGACACACACAAAAACTGTCAACGCAGGCATTCAACGACATCCTCACTGTGTGTTTCACTTCCTAATTGTTGTCAAATATTGTCAGTCAATGTGTCAAACATTGCCAACAAACACTCACTACTTTGACATATATTCAGCCAAACCGACTATGTGGATTATCCGAGACTTGCATTGCAACGGACAGTTTCAATCACACAGTGTGTGGTTTCAATGTATTGCAACACTCGGCAACTGTTCCCGAACATCGAGACACCATTCGGTATTGACAAATGGTTTGGATTTGCAAAATGACTGTTTATGGCACCATAATTGTCGCAAACATTCCAAACTTTACACCTGACTGTGTTTGGACTGTTGGCTGTGTACATTGGACACTCGGCTGCATGCGACTATCAAACGCGAAATGTCTTGTCTGCCATTCAACATGTCCTGTCAGCAGTTATTCGGTTTGA